GTATAATTTTTTATTAGCCTGATCAAATAGGATGGGATGATTTAAATATTGATTTAACTGCTTCATTTCGTCGATTTCGTGAGCAAGTTTTAGATGCACCACCATCTGTATGGACAACAAATTTTGGTATATATATATATATGAAAATTTTCTCTATATAAATTAATATTTTTGAAATAAATTATATTAAATAGATGGATCATCTGCTAATACAATTAATACAAATTGTTGGGGTTCAGATTTATTTCCTAATGGTGAAGCAAATAGTTTTCTTGAAAGTATTAAATTAGCATCAAGTGGAGAAATAAATTGGAATGATATTGATGTTAAACCTTATTGTGGTAAATATGCTTATTTTTTTTTGTTTGATATTTATTTATAAAATAAAATATTTTAATTATAGAATTTCTTGATGGTTTTCTAACAAATCCAACATTTCAACAACAAGATCGAGATAAATTAATTAATCTTGCTTCATCACTTTCATCATTTTTTGATTATACAGGAATTACAAATTTAGCACAATCAAGAATTGCAAGTAAGATATTTAAAGATGATAATCAATAATCTTTTATAATATATTATAACAAGAACTAAATTATTCTATAAAGACAATAGAAACCATTTAAAAAGAAACTATACTTCCATTTGTATTTCGAACATATCAAATCGAATTTATATCAAAATTCTTTATCAATAGATGTTTAAAAAATAAAAATAAAAATTCTAACAATATTTTTCATAGTCTTCATTGAACCAAGATAATAGATTTTATTCGTCAATCTATTTCGAAATGTGCGGTTTCAATGTACTAATTATTGACGTCACAGAGTTAGTGAATAGTTCGCTGAAACACTAGAACACATCACTATAAAAGATTTATCAAGTTGGTCTCTGAGCGTTGCTGAAAATATACATGTCAGTGCAAAGATTTAGTGGCGTAAACAGGGTAGGGCTAGGTTGAGCTCCGCCCAATCACCGCCGTTAACTTCGTCAGCTAAATTTCTCACCCCACAGACCTCATTCACCAGACATTTAAGCGACGCTAAGCCCTACCACCACCAAAATCCTAGTTACGCCACTACAAAGATGGTACCGGTCGAAAATCTGAACCGAATCACTGCTACTGGGTTCATTCCAGAGATGTCCATCGCGGCTGAAACTCTGCCGCTGCCGCGCCGCGACATTAGAAAAAAAAAGTTACCGCGCCGCTGCCGCGCCGCGATGAGTAATAAAGTTGCCGCTGCCGCGATGATCTTCAAAAAAGTGTTTCGATTTTCACTGCTGCAACTGTATTGGACCAGAAATATTGGTACTAGTCCATCAGATTCATTCAGTCTCGGGGTGTTTCATTTGTAAACAATGAAATTCTATTAAATTCATGCAGTTTTTCAATGTCCTCGAAAAACATGCTGCCACTGCCGCGATGAGCTTTTAAAAACTCTGCCGCTGCCGCGATGAGTTTTTAAGAAACCTGCCGCTACCGCGCCGCCACCGCCACGGCGGCAGCGGCAGCGCCGCCATGGACATCTCTGGTTCATTCACAATATATTTATCCAAAATTTATTAAGGATAATCTCCAACGAAACTGTACTGTATGTATTTCGTAAAATACGTATCATTTACATTATGTGTAAACTATACATCCTTGAATCTGTTGATATTTATTAAAAATAAACTTCAAATATTTTATAATAATAATAGTTAGATATATTTGTTTTTTGTTTTATTTTATTAGATGAATCATTTACGGGACATCGATTATCTGCTGTATCAAATAGGATAACATCAGAACCAGTTAATAATGTATTAATCTTCTTCTTCTTCTTTTGATTTTTTTTTTAAATTATAATATATTTTTATTTCTAGTCTAATCCACTTCCAGTTGTAATTGAAGATGAGCCAGCATTCGATTGGGATTCAATAGCTTAAAAATATTGTATCAATTCGATTGTATATAGACGGACATACGAGCATGCATAATTTTCTCTTTTTTTTTTCTTTTACTCTTTGTTTTTAAATTAATTTATCAAATTAATTTTTTTTTTCCGTCCAAAAATAAAGCAAAATGTAGAAATGCTCAAGAGTATGATGATTATCATAGTTTTTATTTGTATACTGTTTTGTCTAACTAATGCAATAGTTTTTCCTATATTGTACAAAAGAAAACTAACAAAAAAAAAAAAGATATCATTATGTTTTGTGTTTATCATATTCATATTTCATTCATAAGCTATGTTTGTGATTGTGTTGGGTTTTCTTTTTTTCTTTGTACAGTGATCAGCCGGTGTGCGCTTATTATAATCATTTGTCGTATTATACAAAAAAAAAAAAAAGAAACAATGTCTGTCTACAGCACCATACATATGTAGATTGTTTTGATCAAAATAATAAAAAAAAAGAAAAACAAATTTTGAAGATTGTTTTTATTTAATACAACAAATGGTAAAGAATAACGTTGAATGTTGCGAATTTTTTTTTTTGTTAATGACAAATGATACCTTCTAATAAAGAAAAAAACAAAAACAAAAAAAGTACTTCGTAGAAAATCATTTTAACTCTCAGTTTAATGTCAACCATAAGTATGCTTTGGTATTTGACGGGATCAATTTGGTCTGAATTTTAATAGTAAAACGTTAGCGTAATATATATAGTATTAAAATGTGCAATACGAAATCGTTACTGCTGTTAACTACAGAGAGATATTGAACTGCTCTATCTTTTTAGGATGCATTTTTTTTTCATCACTTTTTTACTTAATTTTCCAAAATTGGAATATGAAAGTTGCTCATATTTGTTTTAATGAGATTTTATTAATATAGAGTCTTTGATAGTGTATATCAACGGCTATCACAATCTATGAGAAAACGTACATGTAATTTATTCTTATGAGCAAAAGAAAAAAAAAAAATCTTGTTTGTTCTCTTATTCATTTCTTCAAATGAATTTTATTCATATTAATCGTTCGACAATGTATCAAAATCAGATAATATAAAAATAAGTTATCAATTTTTTTAATAGTCTTCAATTGAATACAAAATTTCTATACAACAGACATCTGAGAAGGATCTGCATGACAGAAAGAAAGAAAATACCTGCATGAGGTGACAGATAGGTGACCTATTTACCTTAAAGATTGTAACAGTTTAATATAGAGCAAACATTTCCTGTACTGAAAAAAAGGTAGGACAAATATGTCCCGCCGTCCTCAAAGGGTTATTCAGCTATAATAAAGATTTAAATTTGTCATGCTTGGATTAAATATTATTTTTCAATTTAATATTACACCCTAGAATATGTAATTGAATTTATAACTTTAATAAACTCTTACATAAGAATATTAATATATATATATATATATTATCTTAATTTAACCATCTACGTTATTCGTTATTTTTTTTTCTTAATGAATTAATGATTATACAGGTGTAGGTATGACGTTGAAAGCTGCTTTTGAATATTCTTCGCATGTTTTTTTATTAACTATACAAAACTATTTCATAAAATATTTATTTAAAGAAAAAAATTTATTCATCAAGAGATTGTAATTTTTCACGTAACTTCTAAAAAAAACAAAGAAATACTTGTCATAAATTTAATATCTAATAATAAAAGTAAATAAACATTCAAGTGAGATTATTGTCATATCTTATTAAATGAGAAAGGAGTAAAAAAAAAAATCAACGAATAATTATCATTATTATAAAACTAATATTCATGTTAGTGTATTCTTCACAAATATGACTTTTTGTAATTGAATTTCAATCTCAATCGTTATATTCGATACTTGATCGAAGTTAATCATCATTATAATCAAAATATGATTTTCAAAATTTTTATGTTAAATGAAAAAGTATACTATTGAGTTTCTTTCGTAAAATCATCTAAAATTTCACAACAAAAAAAAAAACAAAACTGACTGATTCAGAATTCATTTGATGTCTTTCAATATTTCAATTTGAAATTTTTGTTACATATATATGAATGTTTTTTTTTTTCTCTTAGAATTATTAATATTCACCTTTTAGATAATTTATTTTCCACTCGATATATTCAGTTATCTCTTCATATGGTTCATTAAAATCTGTAGATGAATTATTTTTATTTTTTTCTATTATTACAAATGAATTCTTTTAAATAACACAAAAATTGTTTTCCACTTCTGTAATATTTTTTTTCTCAAGTATAATAAATTGCTCGATTATAATCAAATCGATTTTCACTTCGATGTTTTTATATACAAAAATTAATAGTTTGATAAAAGTAAAAATATTTTGTAACATCGAGATAAAAAAAAAAGAAAATGTTCGTTCAGATTTAGATATAAGATTGTATATGAGCAATATGTGTGAACATTTTCTTTTCATATCTGCCACCTGAACTGATCCGAATCAGTGATTCGAAATGAAGAGAGTATTCAATCTGATAATTTATATAGAAAAATAGTTATAAAAATCTGTTAGCTTCTTATAGCGAACAATGTCATTGCAAAATATTTATGACATTTTTGATATTAAAAAAAAAAAATAACCTAGAGTCTTATTTCTAACAAATAATAATAATAATGTGTTTTTTTTCAGTCGGGACATAAAAAAGAAAGATTGTCTTTCATTGTGTTAATTTCTTTTTAAGAACATTTATATTAATCATCTTTCCTTTTTTTTCTTTTTTGAAAAGATTATATTATTACTCGTATGAATAAGCTCTTCAAGATTATAAATAAAATATATTATTAAGAATATTATGTGTAGTTACATATAAGAAACAATGAGCCGTAAGATAATATATATATATCCATGTATATTTGAAAAAATGAAAAAGCATTTTATATATTAATTTAAATATTTTATTTTATTTTATATAATTTATTTATTAGGATTTTAAAGAAAATGATTTGTTAATGACGATATCAATTTTTTTTATAATAAAAGTTATTTCAAGAATTAACGACAAATACAAACAATGAGAGAAGCAATAGTCATTGAATATGATAATTGTACTTAATTGTTGAGCATTTGAAAATAGACTCTTAAAAAGCAACCTTTGTCAGTTTGTTGTGAAGAGCCATGGCCATAAATTTTATCAATCTAATTTAAAAAAAATATATATATACCAAGATTAGTAAACAAAAAAAAAAAAACTTTCTTTTTTTTTTCTCTACCTCTTCGATTGACATACGAGTACAACTATTAGCACATTCACATACTGGACCACAATCATCAGAAGATTTCTTTTTGTACTAAAACAAAAAAAAACTTGAAATTCTATTGTAATATAAAAACAAAAAGAAACTTACAACAATTGGTGGATAATCTTCAATACATATGTCACAAGCTTGAAGACAAGCAATATCATCAGGACGTATAATAGATGAATCAGCCATCATTGATTCAAATGATGTATCTATATGTGACGATGGATATTGTTGTTTCTCATCATTATCTGTACTATGAATATCATTTCTTTTGGCATTAATAAATTTTTTCACAGTATTTTGACTTGTATGTTGTTTTTCATTGATTTGAAAAAATCGATTTAATGGATGATTATGAAATTTCATATCATCAATATTAAAAGCCATACTCAAACAAATGAGCATAGAAAGTGAAACGAAGAAAAAACTAACCATATTTATTTTTTAATAATTCTATTCTAAAATTAAATAAGATATATCAATTAATTTATTAACATATTTTATTCTTATTAACTTTTCAAGTTAATTTATTCATTTATATTTATATTAATAAATATGTCTATGATCAAAACTAAAAAGTGAAAACAACATATAGATAATGTTTTTTTTTCTATTTAGTTAATAGTACAAATGTTAATTCTTCAAATAATCCATATTAAACTAATTTATTTAAAAATAAAAAAAAAACAAAAAAGAAGAAGTTCCCTTAATCTAAAACATTTATTGTACATCCCTAAGCACTTTTTAATATACATTGACTTAATAAATTAAAAAAAAGAAAAACTGTATTGGAATGTAAATGTCTTTTTCAGTTGCTCGAGAAATAGTTTGATTAATTTCTTTTGTCTAATATATATATGTTTGATTAGTAAATATCTAATTATTATTGAAGAATAATATCGAAAGTATGATAAACTCGCATGAATTCTTTTGGAAATCGGAAAAGTTATATCATGATAAGTTTCTAAATTTAATTGAAGACAAACTTACTAGAATATATCTGCTAGATGAATAAATGAAGTGAAAATAAATTTGAAACGAGCTTTAAAAAAGACAAATATATCGTAGTTGTTTTCTCTCCTTTTTTTTTTTTCTTTATTAATGAGAATAGATTAAAAAGAAAAAGATAGACACTTGTTCATTCAAAGAACCAGAGAAAAAAAGAAAAAGAATAGCAAAAAAACAAAATCTTAACAGACATACATATATTTTTGTTAGTTAAATCTAAAAAGCAGCTTTAGTACGTACAAAAATATTCGTTCATTTTTGAACCAATTACATATCGAATTTATTTCTTTTTTGTATTGTGTAGAAAAATTACATTAAATAATTGTACAACAAACTACTATTATCTTAAGATAATTTTACTAATTTCTCAAAATTATCACTGTTAAAAGTAATAAAATAATTATTTTCTATAATGTACTTTATCATAGATGATAATATTTAATAATTTAGAAGATAAAAAAAAGAAAAAAATGAAGTATATTATCTTTCAAGAATTCTATTATTTCTATTCATTAATATAAAATTCTTTATTATTCATTTAAGATTTTTTTTTGTTTTTGAGTGTAGTAACAAAGACATAATACATATATGATGTCAATGAATCAATTAACAATTTTGTTTTTCATATCTATAGAATTTTTTTTTTTTGTTTGAGAGAAACATTTTTATATATCAACAAGGTCAGATCTTAATCACCCACATATTTTCGAAAGTTCAAAATTGTTAGTTCATTAAGATCTAGTTTCATGAATAGACAAAAGATTTTCGATCGATCAAAATTCTTCCTGATGGTGCCTCTTTAAAAGAACAGACAATAAAGTTTGGATAACATATAATATATCAATAAAAATTCATTATATTCATAAACAAGACAATATTATACATCTATAAGGAAATCTTTAATTTCAAGAATGAAAAAAAATGAAGATTTTTCGATATCGATTTAAGGATTTTTGTATCTATCTGATGATTTAATAGTTCAGATTTCAAATTTTTTGAAATCACCGAATTCTAATGAAAACTAGAGATAGATGCATGTGCATTTTTGTTTTGCTTTTAAATAAAGAAGTTCTATGAAATGAGCATAAAAAGAAAATCATATGAACCTAATTACACTACTATTAAGATGAATTTGAACGATTTGCATCGACAGTTGTGGACTTTGATTCACTTTCTGAAAGTACACAAGAGAGGCTCACATTGACTATGGATAATTCCTTTTCTACGACATTTAGTTTTCGTTACGAAGTCTTATGGTATTGTAACTTGACCGTGACACAAAAGAACAATTAAATAAATTTGAATTTTTCAAGATTATCATATATGTTTTGATTATTAAGATATAAGTAAATAGTATCTTCATTTATTTGACTTAATAATAAACTACGAGATAATAAATCTATCTTGAATACAATTGATTTTTATTAAGATATTATACTTTATTTGAACTTCATTGTCTATCTTGTGAGTGAAGGAGATCATCATGAGTTCTAATATTTCGAAAATTGTCTAGAAAATGAACAAAATCTTCATGAATTGACATAAAGGCAATTGTATACTACTAAAGTATTTTCATTTTACAACGTTCCTCGAGTGTAGAAAATTGATAAATTTTGATCAGGTCTTTTCTTAATCGATTTTAAGCATTGTTTGACTTCATATGTGTATCCATTCGCTAGAAATACTACTTTACGGAATTTTACTAATATTCAAATTTAACAATATTTTAAGACCATTAATCGTCTTGTACTGTATTTATTCATAACTGATTCAAATATTTAGAATTAGCGTCGAGTTGTAAACGAAAGAGAAAATTTCATTAATCAAAAACTTTAAATTTTATTTTTCTCGAAAATTTCTCGAATCCAAAAAAGTTCTATTGGACTCTAGTACAAAGTAGACCAGTTGATGCTATATCTGATCTTGATGATGGATATCGAACTTTTTTTTTTTCCTTTCATCTTAATCCAAACTTTATTTTTCGAAAAAAGAATGAAATTCTATAACGCTTGATCATTTTAATGTTTTATAGTTAAATCTAACCAAAAACAAAAAATGAAAACTCATATAAAAGACAATTGAAAAGTTTAGATAAAGTGTAAAATTTCATCTCAAATATTCTTCGAAGATAGTAAAATAACCTTTAAAAAGTTCAAAAATTTAGTTTGAACAAAAAATTTTTATATTTTCACTATTGCAATTCGAAACTAAAAAGTTAACATCTTGATTTATATATCAGCTTGTAAATTAGCAGCTATCCTACAATATGCACTATTTTGAATGTTTTTTGCCTTTCAATCAGTCACTTCAATTATTGTTTTGTTTTTTTTGCTAAATACTCATTTTTGAAAAACTGACAAACATTTTACGTTGAGAGAAGTTTTTTGTAAAAATACTTCGAGTAAAAGCTTTTAACAAAGTAAATTATAGGGTAAACAAAAACTTTTTGACTCACCATGTAAGATCTTAATCCTACTAGTAATTTAGTTTTGTATATATCTTTATTTGCAATCTCTAATATATATATATAAGGCGATAACATGGGAAAAGACTTAATAGATTATGATAAAGAAGGGAAGGAAAATGCCCATCACATATACATATATGACAGAAAAACAAAATCTATGACACATGACTATCAACAGAATAATAGAAGGGAAATTTGAATATATAGCTATGATCAAATAGATAGTAAAAAAACTCTTATGATCTCATCTGAACAAAATGCAGGTCAGAATATACCCTTAAAATAGTTCTTTTTATATGTGTCAATTAAGTCAAAAGACTCACACCCTAAAAAATTGCTATATCCATATTTAAATTTCTGTCATGACTTATAGTTTTATGCTCATTTAAAATACTTTCAAGTAGGGTAAAATGAACAAATATGTTCATTGAAAACGACAATCTATAAGTTTCGTTCAAACTAATTTGCTTGATTTATCAAAAATTATCTCGCTACTCTTGAACAAGTACTAAGGCAAAAATTTTAAGTTCATATTTGAAAAGAGTACAACATGCTGGATGTTATCTGCTTGAATTTCCAAAAATTTTACAATCGACGATGACCAACTCGATTTTCATTTCAATGTAATTAGTATTCTTGTATAAAATAGCATCACGTCGATCTTTTGTCTTTTGTGTATTATAAATAACAAAGATGATATTTAAAAATGAATGAAATTATTTAAAAAACAAAGGAAATGATTACAATACAGCATTATGAGACAAAAAGAGAAAAGTATGTTTATGTGCGCACACACGCAAGAAGTAGACTTTTTTTTTTACTTGTTTACAAAAAAAAACCTTATGAGCGAAAAAAAAAACAATAAGAAAAAAGCAGATATGTTCAAGGGACGGAAGAGATTATTTTTTTTTGAATCTGCACAAAAAATATGGTAAAAAGAGAAGAGAAGAAAGAAAACACTTTAAAACTTGAAGTTTTCTTAACAGAAACCATATAAAAATAAAAATAAAAAAACAAGTTACTTTAAAGACACTTGTCATAGATGTGTTTGTCGACAAAATATTACTTGAAACGAAACTCATAGTCGTAATTAAAAAAAAAAGAAAAACAAAATCTCGAAAACGATCCAAATCTTTTCTCTTCACATACTCTCACAAACATAATCTGTTTTTTTTTTCTTATTCAGGAAGAGCACAACATACAATTCTCATTCGTCCAGTGCTACTTGGCATGGGTCCTAATTGTCCAAAGCCCATTTGAGGGAAGCTACCTGCTTGCGGAAAAGAAGTTGCTGGAGAAAAACCACCGTATTGTGGAATGGCACTTCCTATATTGTAGCCAGCTCCTGGATAATTACCATAGGATTGTTGTGAAAAGGCACTAAAAGGTTGTTGTTGAGAAAAAGCACCATATGGCTGTTGTGAAAAAGCACCAAAAGGTTGTTGTTGAGAGAAAGCTCCATATGGTTGTTGTGAGTAAATACTACCGAGTTGAGGTTGCATTTGAGGAAAGCTACCGAATCCTCCAAAATCTTGGTGACCGTAACTTGCAAGTCCAGATTGACCAAATCCACCAAGAACTCCGAACGGATTACTACTAATGCCTTTATTAGAAAAAAGAAACAAAACAATATAAATCTTAAAAGGGGTCAAGTGATTCAGTTTTAATTACTTGATAGTCCACCATATCCACTTAGTCCAGGAAATTGTGACAATCCTTGACCGAAACCTAAATGAGTTTAAATAGAGTAGAATTATATTTGTATTTATAGAAGACATCAATAAAAAAATATATATATATATACCTCCATATGATGATAATCCTCCAAAGGCACCCATTGCAGATGATGGAAACATTGATTGTTGTGGCATCATGGGCATTTGAGGTGGGCATATTGGTTGTTGAGGCATGATAGGCATTGGAGGTGCAAAGGGTATTTGTTGAGGAGCTATTTGAGGAA